CTAGTAAAAAAAAAAAAAAAAAAAAAAAAAAAAATCTCTAACCTATTTTCAGCCAATTTAAACTTTACAGTATTAAAACTCTCAGAGGAAAAGACCTTCACAATAAGAAATTCTTACCTACTATAGATAAAACTAAATTAAAGGCAAAATTAATAAATTTATTTAATTCTGCATAAAAAAAAATTGCATTCTTGCAACAACAAGTTCCTTCTCCTACTTGAAAATTACTTTATTTCAGAATACACAGATATGCAAATTATTAAAGATCAAGTTCTAGATTATTGTAAATTCAGACTCTCTAAAGCCAAAATTCACTGCAAAATTTACTTTAAAACTAATTTTCTGCATCCACAATTTGACCAAATAAACTTCTCTCACATTCTAAACCAATTGTAAACTTTTCTTCCCAGCAACTGATGCCACACCAGTTACAGCATTTAAGTATCAAAAAAACCTTATGCAATTGCTTACTAATCACCATGAACTTAATGGACTAGCAGAATGATACTGCAAATTACAGTTCCTTCCTTATGTTGATTCACACCACCTACGTAGAATTACAGGAAACATGGATATCATCAAAAACCTACAACTTCAAATTCAACAAATAATCTAAATTCTCAAATTTTAATAGTACTTTAAACTGGCCTAAACTTTTGTCTAGTATTAAAAAATACAATTTATAATCACAAAAATAAATAAAGCAAATAACAATTTTAGCATTATTTGAAAAATTTACTACAAACAAATTCTTCAAGCTGAACTTTACAAAGCCAATACTTAGCAACTAGTAACTTACATCAGTGCAACTACAATAATAAACAAAATTAATGCGTTTCATAAAAAACTCAACATTTTTGTTATGCCCAGATATAACAGATTCGCTAACCTTTATGCTCTTCCTGTTTCATAAAACACCAATTAAATTCAGATTCATAGCAAATTGTAATAATAGTTAGAAGAAAAATATAGACTATATATTTGCACAGCAACTTGAAAAGACCTGTAACTTAATATTCACAACTTGTAACAGAGAACATCACTTTTGCTGGATTATCAATAATAACATTCCTATACTTAATACCTTACAGACTTAATACCTTAAAGACTTAATACCTTCCTATACTTAATACCTTATTCCTATACCAGTATCAACATACATAATATTAACTGCTATGATCTTTGAAAACTTATATACTTCTCTTGCATTAGAAGAATTTTTTAACAGCTTTCTTGAACTCCCAAAACCTTTTCCCACAATTCTCCCTATTCTAAACTTTAATAAATGGAAAAACTTCCTTCACTGCATTATTTTTAATAATTACATGAAATTTAACAATAAAATATTTAAACAGGTAACAGGTATACCAATGGGAGCTCATACATCTATCTATGAGTACTTATAATATCTTTTTGTTTGTTCAAGAATTTAAATTTAAAAAAGCACTTAGACAAGATTTAATTTATTATGAACATACTTTCAGATACATTGATGTTCTCATCAGTTTTAATAACTTTAATAAAATAGAAAATTCCCAAATTTATTCTGAAAGCCTCATTATCAATAAAACTTATTCTTCACAAAACGTTTTCCTATTTCTAGATCTTTAAATACCTAACTATACACAGATAAAACTCTATGACAAAACCAGGAACTTTAAATTTGCAACTAAAAATATAATTGATTGGACTTCAAACATTTCCAGGAAAGTAATTAGTAACACAGTCATTAGTCAAATCCATTGAATAAAAATATTTGTAACAACACACTAGATATTCAAAATGAGATATTTATACTTATTCAAGTTCTTAAAAAATAATTTGGTACCAGATAAATTTGTTAATTGCTGTCTTAAAAAAATTTTCTACAAAATTTAAATACTAAAAATAAAAAATAAATTAAATACTCAATTTAAATCTGTTAACTAATAGGGTTTAGATAATTTACTCCTAAAACTTTCAAAAGGCAGAATAAATTGGATGTCTGTTAGTTAAAGATTTGTAAATTTTGTAATTAATTTTGCCTATAATGTAAATTACATTTTTTTTCTAGCCTTCTTCTTTATGCTTTGCAGGCCTTTACCCAAAAATAAATAAATTTATTTCTTCTGCTTGATTAAAAAACTTTTTAATCAAGAAAGTAGTCGCTGACAACTTTAACTAACAGTAAGATTATCTCGCCAATTTTAAGGCGAGATAAAATCATCTCTCAAATTGAGTTCAACACGTCACTAAAAACTACTTTTCTCATACATAATATGACAACCCTATTACATTCCATTACTGAGTACACCAGTACTTTCAATTTTACTATTTAAAATTTTTATCATTCAAAATATTATTTCTATATAGCTTTTAAATAATTTTTACTATTTAAAATTTTACAGTTCAAAATATTATTGCTATATAGCTTTTAAATAATTTTTACTATTATAGAAATCTAAATAATTTTAAATACCGACTTAAAATGCTGCTTAAATTACTGACTAAAACGTATTCCAATAATTTATCACTTTAAAATACTGACTAAAATTTATCAATAATTCATTGCTTTCAAATATTGACTAAAATTTATTCCAATAATTAATTTTTATCAAATTTCTGCTCCTTGGAGAGGATATATGAAAAACCTTTTCTAGTAATGTATATATTAAGTTAATGCTTTTAAGATTTAAATTTTAGAATTCTCAACTCAACTTGATTTACAGATAAAATATTATTACTAATCCCTTAAAAAACCAATAGTTAAAAATTCAGAAATTTTAAGTGTTCTGTCATAAGAGAAAGAACCCAGAAAGATTTTTTATAAAACTAACTACAATATTTGTGTATTGTTCCAGACAAGGATCACTGGAAGCAATAAAAATAGTGATACCGTACCAATAAATATCTATTTTCTATCTGCACTGTATTCTTAACTTTCAGTCTGTTATTTCAAAGCTTGCAACTATGTGTTCATATCTTTTATATGTTTACATTTCTTATTTTCTTCATGGATCTCTGAGAATTAATAAACACTAAAACTGAAACAATGTAAGTTATTTACAGTTGTTTTAATCCCACAAATATTATCCAGTACATCCTACCCCGCCACACGGGGGGGGGGGCCCAGCTAGACTATAATTATAGTTACCTCCGTTGCCAATCTAGTTCTCAGACTGCTGCCAAAATTACATAAAAGTTTTATTTTTATTTAAGCACTTAATCTGTGATAAAACGCAACAGCTTTGATATATGTTTAGCACTCAAAAAAGCATATCAAGTCTAGTATTAAACTTTGATGAAAATAAAGGTGCAAAAAACTTCTATAAAATATCACTTAGCCATAATTTTATGAGTATGCACCTGTACAGAGGATGTTCGCGCATTTTTTAGATGAATTTATTTTCCTGTTATTCTGCTCGGAATTTTTTTTTTTAACTGCAACTATACTCTTGGAAGTATAAATTATCTGCTACTTGATATTTTTTTTTTCCCTGCAAAAGGTCACTTTTAATGAAGCAATGGATGGAAGGCTATGTTTGTGTTCTTTTCAATGAACATTGTTTGTATCTAGTTATTAAAAACGTTGTGAAAGTCATGCTTTTTCAATATCTAAAGCTACAATAACAATGATGTCAACAACAAAGGGAGAAAATGTCAAAATTTAGCTTCAAGTGGAAAAATTGCTCCAAATACGTATGCAAGGAAAAATGGAATGTTTTGAATGTTGCAAAAGTAAGATCTTTAGTGTTAAAAGAAAATCCGCCAAATGAAAGGACAGTTGCAAAATCACTAAAATGTTCAGTCACAATTACAAACAAAGTGATTAATGCTGATTGGAATCTTAAAAAGGTGAAAGAAACCTATGTGATCATCTTTGTCCACAATATATCGCTGAATGCAGAATGTCCTGCATGATTCTTTATGATAAACATTTATCCAGACAAAAATGGAAAAATGTTGTCACAATAGATGAATAGTGCGCGTACCTAAATAAAAAAAACTGCAATAAAAAGAGATCCATTGATTATCATTAAAAAAGAGGCAAAAAATCTTAAAATTTGGTTCAAGGAATCTAATAAAAGTTTATCTAAAGGATTTATAACTGTTGCTGGTTAATGGAAAATTTAAAACAAACAGAGAGGAGAAAAATGTTAAGGTCAGTTCCCCTTATTATCAAAAACATATTTTATACCTCATTTTAAAATATGAAATACCTTCTCTTTACACACAGTGTGAGCAAATGGTAGAACTTCATCAAGACAAAGCAAACAGTGATACATCAAAATCTACTGTTAATTTCCTGGAAAAAAGGGAACATGAAATTGGTATCAAGGATGTATCCTTCACTCATATCCCTACTAAATATCATGATCTATCACCAATGTATTTTTATGCTTTTGGACTTTTAAAAAGTAGCTTGTCGAAACGTCGACCTACAACCTACTTAAACTTTGGAAAGTTGTTCGAGAGCAATAAGATAAAATATCTCTTCCAATACTACATTGCATTATTGTCTTAGAAAATACTACAAGGCATTATTGTCTTAGAAACTATGGTGTATAAAGATAGTGAAGAGTAACAGTTCTCAAACAGAACATTCAAAACATAAACATTTCAGGTAAAATATTTCTGTAATTAACAATCAAAATTGTCTAAAACATGCACGAATTATAATTATTACCATATTTATTCATATATTCCCTTTCCTAGTTTTTTAAACTCTGAATTAGAATATTACCATTAATGACAGCCACATAGAGAGCTTGATGTATAAAAAGAACTGTATTGAGAGCAGAAACCATAACGAACGCCACGGAAATATAGAATATAGCTACAGTAATACATCTTTTCATATGTGCTTTTTAAATTCGCAAAGTTCTCCCATCAAAAGTAGCAAACACTTCATATTTTTTTTTAGTTTGAAAAGATAAATTTAGCATGACAGTATTCTAGCAGGTAAATATAGTATTAGCTATATATATTTTACCTACGATTTAAAAAACAATAAAAGTAAAACAAAACATTACATGCATCCTTTTAAAACATAGTAAAATAAGTAAATATATAAAAAATTATGCCATTTTATAGCAATTTTATTACCTTCTGATAAGTAATTTAAGTCAAATTTCTGATATGATAAATTAATTCTTGGATCTCTAACAGTAAATCCCATGACTGTTCTTGGTGGAATTACATATGTTATCTGATGCTTCAATTTTTCTATCAAGCATTTCTTTTTCATATGTAGAGACTGCCTATGTTCACTGCTGTAGTAACTCTGCCACCAAAATAAACATTTATCACTATCATTACTTGACAACACCTCTTCAAAAGAGGAATCATTTTCATTATTTTCTGCATTTCTATAAGGTGATGTCATGGACACATCTGCTACCTTTAACAGATTAATAATTATGGATTGTGCCATAGGGCCAATTATTCGGTGGCGAACTAATGTATCTTTCAGTAAGACCATTTTTATTTTATTAGATGTGTTATTGGACATATAGAATTGCTCTTTTTTAAATTTAAATTTAATTTTCTCATAGTTGACTTTGGATGCAAATGGAATATGACTTTTTTCCTCACTCATTTCAACATCTTCATTACCTTCTTCAGTGCTTTTAACAGTACTTTTGTGGTAAAAATCACAAGCTTCTACCTTTTCTAAGTGAAAAACATTCACCAGCACTTCTACAATTTCAGAATGTATTGTAGGATGACACCATATCCATAATTTTCGAAAATGATTACACAGTTCTGAATCTATTTGAAGAACATTGCTTGAAATATTTGCTTCCCAAATAAATGATACTGGGCCAATAGCTTGGAAAGGATATGTCTTTGGATGATATAAAACACAAAAGCCTTCCTTAGTTCCATTAAGATACGACTCAAAAGTAAAACCTAGGAAATAAACAGAACTTAAAATCTCAAATGCATTAACATACAAGAGTTGCAAAACATGATTCAATAACTATATTTTAAATATAAAAATGTGTTTGTGTACAGTTTTATCAGACTCTTATAATTAATTTTTCCTGAAGATTTATACTCTTTCTATTTTCCATATTTTACAATTCAAAAGCCTACATTCAAGCCATTGCAAGCTACCATTATACTGTCCAACATAAAGATATTTTTTAAACCTGATTTCCTTTTTTAATTATCTCTTAAGTAATTTTGTCTCTGAACATTCTGGCTTTCTGTTATTACCAATATAATGATTGTTTCTACATTGCAGAAACAAGATCACCAGCTATCATGATCCTAAACTATGGAGAATAACCAGTGCATTGTAAGTATTGCAATGTTCCTTCAAACAGCTGATTTTTTAAATTTCTGTTCCTGAGCATAAAAGTCTGTATTAAGTATCATTTGCTACCCATTACCAAGTCTATTTAGAAATTAAATCACTATAAATAAAACAGTCATTCAGCAAAACAAAGAATGTCACTAGGAAAAAAATATATCTGCTCATAGTAAGGAATAAGCAGTTTTTCCAAGGCAAATTTTAACATCACTTTTTGCAAAGATACAGCTATACTTATGACATTTCGTGTTTACTTTTGGGTAGATGCTGAGTTTTCAAGCATCTTTTCATTTATGTCATTTTGGTTTTATTATTCAAAACTGATCCAATAGGTCGCTATAAACAGCAATAATGAAGATACAATTCTCCCTCAATGTAGAAATTAAAAAAAAATGGACAATTTGAAAATTTTGCACTGCATGTTTATCATTTTAACCCTCTCAGCTTTATGGATGGAAAATTCTGAATAGAAGGCTGGCTTTCTTATATATTACATATGAAAATTTCTGCCAGCTTTTAATGTATACTGGAAGAAGAGGAATTGAAGCGCAAAGTGAAAGTCATTTTTTAATTATAATCAAGAAAATACCATTTATTCATGACATTTTGAGGAACTTTGAAATTTCAAGGTTAAACCCATAATGCTTGGATGGTTAAACAGGTGTTTACTGCTAAAAACTATCAAAATAAAAAAATGTAAAACAGCATAAAAAGTATCTGAAATGAATCCAAACCAGTCATATAGCATAAGATATTAGAAACATGTTTTAATAATTACAATCAAGCTGCAAATATTTATAAAAGTTTTCTATTGGACATATTTGCATATTAAATGCATTCTAATTTATATCAATATAAACATGGATACTTCTTTGTCACAGTGGCCCCCAAGATTGAATCACCAATCAACCAAGATATCTCGCCAAAATCTGAATATGTGTTCATATATCTCCCCATGTGATCATATATTAGCACTGTCCTGCGTGTTCATATACCTTACCACATGTTCGCATATTAGCATTGGCTGCAAGTTCTTAGACCTCGCCACATAATCATATATTAGTACTGTGTTGCATTTTTCCTACCGTGTGCTTTTACATTATTCATTTTTGATAAGGTTTTTGAATCGCATTATTTAAAAATAAATTCACTTTTTTATTTTTGTGAATATGATGTTAACAATCTAATTTAACAAGTAATGAGGCAGATGCCATACCATTTTTTCAACCTTTTTTTTTACCTGACAAATGAGTATGCGAAAATGGACACAACATGAAACTTTATATTAACAATGAAACCATTTGGAGATGCAGTGTTAAAAATGGCAAAAAGAAGGACCTCTGTGTTGGAAATTGGTTCAGTGGTTCCAGAATATCATTTGTCAATGTTATTAGATTTATGAATTATTGAGCAGAGCGGTTGACATCGATGAAATGATATAACAAACAGCTTAATAAGTGTGAAAGTTAAGTAGAACAATTACATGCTGTAAAATGATAATTATCATAAGAATAAGGGTAAGAATAAGGGTTCTTAAAAATATTCTTAGGAAATGACATGTCAATAGAAGCCTGATTATATGACATTCAACTAAATGGAAAGCTCAAGGCACCAAAATATTTTCAAATTTTAAAAACTTTCCAAACAGTGAAACTTAGCACCAATAATGGATAAGCGTGAAATAGAACTTTGGCTTTACGTAAATCTGATTAATTCTCGATATGTCAGTTTAATATTTGTAACTGCTACATACCTGTTTTTCAATCGAATTCTGAAAAAATGATCAAAATGTGGAACATATCTTCAATGAAACAGTGTACAGTAAAGTATTTCAAATTTACAGGGTCCTGACATGAAGAAAAGTGTGACTTACATATTAACTTACAATTTACTTATTAACATTGTTATTAATAACAATGTTTTCATAGGTCATCCACGCTTCATTCTTAGTTATCATCCAGTCCAAAGGTCATTTTCATTCCTAGCAAGAAGAGTTGTGCATATGATAACTCAATCGTACAAATTTTTCTCACTTAACTCATATAAAGACATCTATCTGGAATATTTATCTAGACTTATATTTACTATATTTATCTGGAATATTCATCTAGCTAGACCTTTCCTTGTTTCTGAATATGGTCTGTAATGGTTTGATGAGTTGAATTAAGCTTTTCCGCAATCTCTGATGCTATCAAAAAAAGGACATTGCTATATCATGATAGTGACAATATCTTCATCAATCAAAGATGGCTGCTCAGAGTGTTGCTTATCATTAAGGTTGAAATTATTTTTTCAAACCATCTCCTGCACGTTCTATCTGAAATTACATCTAAACCCAAAATTGTCACTAAATTTTGACATGCTTCTGTAGCTTCTTCTTGCTGACATGCATCTTCTTCTGTCATGTATTTCTTCCTTGTTGGAACTCATACAAAGTACAGTGTCATTAATGAACTTGTAATGTCTCTTGATTATTTTGTCTCTGATAAAATGTCAAGGAACCTAGTGAACTAAGTAGGGATTTATCGCCGAGTTCAAGTACTTACAACGCATACTCCAGAAGGGTTAAAATACCGTTTTATTTACTTGAAGAAATAATACAGATGACCCCTTCTCGTGCTTACAGGAAAGCCTCAACTCAGGCTTTTAAATCAGAATAAGAAAATAAGAAATTAATCTAACACTAAGATAGACTTAGCCAAAGCTAGACACAAATATCTAACATAGTTGACCCTTAATTTAAACTAGCCGGCGAATATCAACAGACACGCAGAATACAGTCAAGTATAATAGCTTCAAGAATGAAACTAGCCAAAAGGCAAATGCACACCACTAAGGACTCCTAAGCATTCTCTATCTTGTTGAAGTTAGTTGAACTTCCTTTTAATACTACTTCTAACTCATTTGCATTCAACGATTCTAAAAACTCATTCTGATAGGGAGTTGTAAGTGGGAAACAAGAACTGAAAGGGTTTCAAAATTAAAAATAATTGTTATTAAATTAACATACACATTACAAACTTTATGGGTAGCCATGTTTACTTTATTGTACCTTACTTAATAATGAAATGAGACACTTTTGTTTCAGTTAATTTAGAAGGGCAGATGTTTTATAAATGCGGTGATAAAGAAAGACAACCATATATTTCAATTAAATTAAAGATTCAATTAAAGATCTAACGCTGTGTTAAATGGCAACATTACAAGAATAACTTATTAGCGAGTATGTGTGGAAGATAAATTAAAGGTCTTATGTTTCATAAAAATGGTGAAATTTGTTAAGTATATTTTAATATCAAATACATTTGATAAATGCTACTTTTCTTTCTCATTTGGTCTTCTATGTCTGTAGGTTATCATGAATAATCCAAAGTTTTCATGCATATAGAGGATGACTGCAGCCACATAGACAACAGTATCTCTTAAGTCAATATTCAACGGTAGTCAACTTCCCTAAGGTGACTGCTACTGATGAGAATAATAATAGTCTGGAAAATAAAATGCATATTTGTGAATGGATTGAAAAACAGAAAATAAAAAAAAGTAAAATATATATATTTTTTTAAAAATCTGAAAGGTTTCAGATTTTAAATTGTGTCTGAAGCGCCTTTTTTTTTTTACATTTTGTGTGTTACCTTTATTTATTAAATATCATGTTCTTCGCACGTAAGCCATAAAATTCAATTCAACAGCAATATCACAAAATATTTAAAAGAGTATATTTAATCTCGGGTGCTGGAGATTAAAATGCCCCCCCCCGTACAGTGTTGCCATAGTTCACTTTGAAATCGTTGAGTTCCTTAATCAAAAACTCATAAATACTTTACAAAATATGAAATAGATTATAAAGCAAATTCCAAATTTGAACTTCCAGATGCCCATATTTGGGCGGAGATGCTCACATTCATATTCAAAATTTGATGACTCTAGGTACCGTTGCTTTATCATAATGTGAGAAACATACATACCTTTATGCAACTCTTCATTATTTAATTTCTTTAAATATAATACAGGGTTCTAATATTTGATGGCAACAATCGACGCAAAATGCCAAAACAAAATTAATAACCCTTCTGGGCAAACTGGCCCTCTGGGTTAAAAATAAAAAATGCGTGGAAGCTCTAATAAAAGTGACTCACATCTGCAGATTATGATATGATTATGAAGAATATGTCAAGCTACTCCAAGGCCTTTATAAGAAAGTCAATGACTTTGGAAGTAAGTTCAATTTGTTTTGTTAGCACAGGCAAATCCACTTGTAGTATTAATGTTACTTCTAATGTCAGAATTTTCAAATACAAATCAATAGTTCATGTGAATAATTTTGTTGATGTGAAAAATTTCCAATCACCTAATAAAATGACTAAAAAAATTATGATTTACAAAAAATGAGAAATTCAGTAAAACTGTACAACAAATTTGGAATTTTTAATAGTAATATTGCAACTGGTATATCCCAGAAGGATAAAGATACGCAGCAGCAGTTATCTCCAGTTACTGTCTAAACCCCAATAAAATAATTTTCAAAGATTTTCTTAGATTACTTTTTTCATGTTTTATCATGTGCTAAAATGGAAATAAAAAAAAATTCGCTAAAGTGTGAGTGCAATTTTATCAGATACATCAGCATGTTGTTTTATCGGTGGCGACGCTCAAGCGACAAATGAATTTTTCCATAAATTTTTCTCTAAAGTCGGAAGGATCGATTTATACGTGGGTATATACAGTAACTATTTTATGATTACTTAGCATTATGTCATTGATAAAAAGTACAAGCATGTGATTAAAGTCTTGATATGAGGTTCACCATCAAATTTAGAGTGAAACTGGACAGGCATTAACTTGCAGAGGTTATGCAATTCAGAAAATATCTCAATTCACAAAACAATGAACTAGGGGGCCAGTGCCACAATTACTGATCCAGTAACTTTGTTAATCCAAAACAAAGCACTTCAGAAAATTTCCAGTCTGACTGATGTTATACTCTTCTCAGTGATGGTTAAAATATATATGTCGAAGAACCAACTACTTTACAAAATGGTAATTTGCCCTGTTAAGGGTAAATTTGATAAGCCCCGATGTCATTAATGCAAAAGAGACCATCCAGCATAAAGTTCTCTAAAAAAAAAAAAAAAAAATTAATGCACAAAACAAGAGTACCATAAAATGAAGTTTTAATTTTGCCCAGGCTCCAAAACTGGCAAAAAAAGCTTGCATGAAAATAGCAAACCAGTGGGAAAGCATATACCTATTTCTGCAGCACTTCCACAGGTAGTTAAAGTAAATCAAGATAATAAAAAATATGTAAATAATTCTATCAATAATATTAAAAGTTAGAATTAATAGATCTTTTCAAAAGTGTTAGTGAGATTCATGGGGTCATTCATGAACACAGTTAACAAATATGAATTATTCATTAAAAATATCTGATGTGTATACCACATGACTTCCTTGTATGGAATATTAAATTATACACATTTTTTGCTGCATTTCATTTGAACTTAATTCCTCCAATTTTATTAGAGATATCTTTCTCATTCAATTATTTCAGTTCTCACTTAGCAAAAAAGGAAAAATACATAAACTCTCAGAATATCTTTATTAAAAATTGAAAAATTAAAAAAAAAAAAAATCTGATGTGTACACCACGACTTCCTTGTACGAAATATAAAATTATATGCATTTTTTCTTGGATTTAATTTAAACTTATTGGATTGAATTAAATCTACTTCATCGATAGCGCATAAACCATAATAGAATAGATGCACTCTTTAAAATTCACTATATTTGTTTACCCTAGTGACACTCTGACGCTAGGTTCACTTAACAGCGTTACATTTCTCTTATTATAACTAATCAAAATCAAATCGGTTCTTGAATTTCAGAGTATGTAGCAGATAGGCTGCTTTAACTGCATGACAAGGAAGATGTGCCCTAAGGCGATGGTTATTAGTTAAAAAAAGGCAAAACAATCACAGTGGCAACTTAGGCGAAGCTCTGGCTGCACAAAAGTACAAAACTGGAAAAATAAACGTTGCCAGTCACATGGGTGATCACCCACCCAAGTACTGACCCCGAGAGGAACCGCTTAAATCTGGACTCCTAGGAAAACCTAGAAGAAATGGGGAAAAGAAAAAGTAATGAAAGCCCTCATTTTGCTTCGTCCAATGCAAGTTACTTTGCACCTTCAGTAAATCGCACTAATGTCATAACAGCATGGAAACTAGCTGTGAGCTTCTCCGCCATTGATTTCGCTGTTCTTGTCTTCTCGTTATGGTTTATGATGCTACTTACAAAGTTGTTAATCTTCAGTTGTCAGTCAGTTATTAATCTTCATTCTAAGACTTCTTTGTATTCCTTCATGGGTGGTTTCATCCTTTGTTGGGCTTTCTTGCTGTAAAGTGTTTTCGGCGGAGTCTGATTTTTCTTTTCATCTAATATTACTAGTTGGGGAAAATCTGCTGGAGTAGGAATAGGTGCTGCTGGCTTGGGTTGTGATTTCTTAGCTTCAAACCGCTTTTATTCCGGCCAACTGCTGTAGGAAGAAATATGCTGCTGTTTGCAAAAATGCAAGTTGGTTTCTCTTCAAGTTTGAGAGGGCAATTCTTACTTCTATGCTGCTGCTCGCATTTACAACACCGTTCAATGTTAGAGCATAGATGCTGAGTATGTCCATATTCTTGACACCTATAACATTGTGTCACTCTCTTCTCAGGTGCATCCTTTTCGATCTTAACATTCACGCTAAACATGTTGTTTAGGTGATGTATTGCATGACCTTCTTTGGTTTTTTTCTAATTTCAACAGGAATATTGGGAGTTTTTCCAGGACTTCACCCTTTCATCTTGTGAACTGTTTTACTTTTTGGATTGGATAATGTCTCCTTTCGAGGTCTGCAAAGATAGCTTCTTTCTTCATCGTTGTCGGTAGATTTTCTAATATGACTTTCAAGAGCTTTTTCACTTAATAACTGAAAGGTGTGGAAGGGAATACAGTCAAAAGTCGTTAATTCGGACACTCATAATCCGGACCTCAAAGCTACAAACTTTCTGCGCATGCGTCGTTAGCTACAAACTTTTCGTTTTGACGCATGCGCAGAAAGTTTGTAAGACCTTCACGGCTGCGAATATGCATGTGCGCATGCACAAAATACGTTTACAAATGCATGTTTAATGTATAATGGACAGTATAAGCTAAGCTAAAATTATCTAATTCAGTTATGTTGCAGATTGCGTTGTTCCTTAATCTTCAAATTGGATCCAGTTTATTATTTTTTGCAGACTGTTAGAGCAATTTTATAAAAGTAAGCTTGAACTTTCGATTATGTCAAATATAATTTCTGATATATATTTACTAATATGTAAAGGATCTACAAAGTGAAAGTATGTTTCGAAGTCCATTAAACAAAAAGTGGAATTTCTGCAAAAAATGGATAAAGGCATATCCTTTGTTTATCTAACCATTCCAAAATCTGTTTATCAATTTCACGCTGCTCTGCGTGTGTGTGTGGGGGAAACGTTGCTGTGCGCAATGAACTGGAAGTTGATCTGTCAACACTATCCTTATCTTCAGGGCAGATGTTTTTATTTTATTTGGCTTATAATTCTTTACTAAATGTAGTATTTCATCTCGATGTACTCCGTCTTTGATATGATTTAAATCAAATTCCTCGTCATTATAATTCACTTCCGATAGCGAAGAAAGTGACAGAGGTTATTGAAAACGAAAAAATTTCGATTGACAAATTAGTCGGTATTCTCGACACAGCAATTATAGGACTTGAACAGCCGAACTTTGTAAATGAACAAGAAATTATGTCTGTTTATAGAATTAAAGAGATAGTATTATCACATAAAAAAAATGAAGCAACTTAAACAACTTACATTGAAAGAAATGTTTAATAAAGTAAATAAATATTAAGGGTTTTTTTTTTGAAATTTTGATACCCTTTAGATCATAATTGTTCTTTATTTCATAAATTACGGTTTTATATTTTTAACTTTATAATTTCTGCATGCCATCTTACCAGATTTAAACTGATGATCTATAATCCGAAATCGAAGTCCCGACGAGTCCGGATTAACGACTTTTGACTGTATTTCTCTTCTGTAGAATTGCAGTAGCTTTTCTGTGGTTGTCAATAGTTTTAACATTCATGTATAAGAGTCTCCTTTTCATCTCTCCCTCAAATTATTCACTGCATGTACTTAGCAAAATTTCATTAATTAGGGACCAATCTATTTCACTTTGCTTAAAGACGATGGGCGAGGGCGTTTCTTCTTCTCTGTCTCCTCCCATCTCTGTGTCTACATTATAATTCAGAATGCACAAAATTTATATCATTTGAAGAATTATCTAATTATTGCCACATGTTCTATTCAAATACTATAATAAGTCTAAAATGATGTATAAAAGAAATTAAGCAAACAAACCAAAAAAAAAAAAAAAAAACTGTTTTTCACAGACAATTAAATATTTCTCATTCAATTAATTCGGTTCTCACTTCCCAACAAGGCAAAAATACATAAAAATTCAAAATATCTAACAACATAATCTGCAACATTAACTGAATTAGATAATTTTAGCTTAGCTTATACCGTCTGTTATACATTAAACGAGCATTCGTAAACGTATTTTGCGCACGCGCACACGCATATTCGCAGCCGTAAAGGTCTTACGTGCATGAGTCAACGCAACGCATGTGCAGAAAGTTTGTAGCTTTGAGGTCCGGATTATAGATCATTCCGGATTATGGGTGTCCGAATTAATGACTTTTGACTGTATACGTTCAGATTTCTCTGTACTATTCCCCATTAAAAACTGAGTTATACTAGGCTTAGACTTCAATCACACGCAAGTCATGGAATTGCAATAGCAGTAATTCATATGGAAATATTATTTATCATTTCGTCTCTCAAAATAATCTACATACTGCAGCATCCAGAAACCCCAACATACTATAGAACTGGTAACACAAATATTATAAATTTATATACTTAAGATTATTAATACTCATTTATATATCAAGAGTTTACGTGAACTATCATCTGACTCCAGTCATGATGGATGTTAGCAACTGTTGCTGCATACCACATAAGACAGCTATTATTACTAACTGGGCACAATATGCCAAAGCTCTAAACAACATCTAGCACACTATTCGAATAATAGACATAGGGAATGAGTCAGATGTATTAATTGAGAATTTTACAAATGATATGCATCAAGCATCGGCTAACAATAGTAAAGGAATCTCTACTGCTAAAAGATGTTGAGATTCAGAAATTGAGGACATAACATTTAAATCAAGCATATAAAATCTAGCAGTGATCATATAGTACTGATCAAGTCTCATGAATATAATTCATCACAAAGTCCATTACAAGAATACATATCTAGTGTGATTGGATCGGATACATAAAATGAGCATCTAAACATGACAATTCAGTTTTTAAGGTTAAGCAACAGAATATCATAAGTGCACTTCCTTCCAAGGAGAAGGGAATTTTAATTGTAGAATAAGATATTTTAACTGCAGAAATACAAATTACTCAATTTATATAACTTGTATTTTTATATAAAAAATCAACAGTCATTTATACTAAAAAAATTTGCAATCTGGAAACTTCAGACTACACCTCAAGCAGTTTACCATTAGAATTTCAAAAAGTTTTATAACTATAAATTAAAAATATAAATATCATAAAACGAAACAACTGCAATTTAAACTTGAAATACAGACTTCTATTTAATATGTAAAGCAATTTTAAGCTAAGTAGTCACAACAGGCTTACAAGTTTAAAACTTAATTCCCTAGAAATTAAAGATACTGAACATAAAGTCTTATTTTAAAATGAGCTATTCAAAATGGCAAGGCCAAATGGTAGGGTAATACTAGTTTCTTGTAAATGAATATTACTGTCTTACTTATTTAATAAGGAATATACTTAATTATTTAAGATGTAGTTGTTCAGTTATTTCACTGGATCTCTTGCACAAGAGGCATTACCTTCTATTTTATTAGGATATTAAAAACGACAAACTGAAAATAAGAAACACTTTCAAGAGGTTTCTTTCAAGATGTTTAATAAATGTTGATGATGTTTAATAATGTTCAAAAACACATATTTACCAGTACTGGCATCTGTTAAGTATGCAAGCTCAGTTAAAAGTTGTTTCTCAGAGCCTCTAAGTTCAATACAGCAATAATATGACAAATCCTGAAAAAAGAAGTATATATGTAGTATCACAAATTTTTGTTTTAATGATAATTGATTAATTTTTGTTACATTTAATCACCAAGGTATTCGGAAAACAGTACAAAGAGAGCGCGAGGCGGTTTTCTTCCCCCCGCAATTTCAAAAAGAGTGGTAACCCAGTATGTCAGGTCCTGCCACACATGCCAGTTAGTTAACGACATAAATTACAGCCCGGCCGGGTATCTAAATAATATAAGAACTACTTTTTCTAATGAGTTAATTGGAATCGATCTACTGGGCCCATTTCCAAAAAGTGAAAGTAACAGAAATAGATATTTACTAGTTATAGTAGATCATTTTTCAAAATGGTTAGAAATACTACTCCACTCCTCTTAAAAGAGCCTCAGTGAAAATTGTAGCCGATTCTTTTCTAAATAAATGCATTTTAAAATATGGTGCACCACTTAGGGTAATATCGGATAATGGCCCTCAATTCGTTAGTCAAATTTTTGAGGAGCTATGTGCAGGGCTTGGCATCCGTCACCTTAAGACAATCCCTTACAGACTGCAGTCAAATATTGCCAAGCACATAAACAGAAGCATAGTTAAAATCATTTGGAGCTATGTAAAAACCAGCGCTGGGATGACTGTGTAAATGAACTGGCGTATGCCCTCAGAATGACCAAGCATGCTACCACGGGAAAGGCCCCTTGTGAACTCTTTCTGGGGAGGAAGATAATTACCCCTTTAGATAAATTATTTTTTGTCCAGAAAAGAGAGGCAGAATTTAAACAAAAGGATATCCAAAAGTTAATTAATGATGCAATCAAAAATTCAGATGTAGCCAGAGAAAAACAATCACTGTATTATAACAGGAAAAGAAGACTTTAAATCTGGGAACAAAGTACTGAAAAGAAAACATGCATTGTCTTGTGCCCCACTCAAAAAAGTGTTAAAAATTTCCCTAGATTTGAAGGCTCCTACGTGATTGAATGTATTTGTGGATCAGTTCTATATTTAAAAGGAAGCAAAGAAGGCAATATCACTGCCAATGTGGATCAAGTGAAAAAATACTATGCTCGTAACGAGATGCCTATTTTTAAAGATCTATTTAAAGGTAACTTCAAACATAGAAGAAGGACCCTCAAAAGCACAAATCATTCTCCCAGGAACAAAAAGGAAAGAAGACAGAGTCTTGGAGCCAGATGGAAAGAAGCTTTGACTTCAAGAGCCTAAATGTATGAACAAGTGAAAAATAGAAACACCCCATAAGAGAAATAAGGTCCTGAAAAAAGAAGAGGAAAAGAGGAAACTAGACCTCACACAAGATCCACAAGCAGGCAAATGGAGAGGAAAAACAACTGAGACTCATAATGCCAGCCACTGAGTTAGCAACTCAAGTTTCACACAGGAAACGTCCATTAGATGAGGAGCCGTGGAACAGAAGGAAATATAGTATAAGAAACTCAGGAGATCCCACGGAGGTCCAGCCAAAAATTCCCCAGCCAGGCCAAGGAGGTTCTTCGGCCACAGCCGAAAAGCGTCAAGCGCACGCAGAAGTAGACCATAGCCGAAAGAAACCAGCTTTCAGACAGAAGTATCAAAAGAAAACAGCTGGCAATGGAAAGCAAAGGGAACACCCAGCTCCCACAGCAGATCCAAGTGAGACACCTGAATCAAGTTCTATCATGGGAAGACTTCAACAAAAAGAGGATGACAGAGTACACCAAACAAAAGATAAGCCAAAATTATTCTATTTAAATTTATTTTAAAATCTAGTACGAAGTTGGATGAAAATATTTATTTCAGTTTTGCCTCGGGAAGAGGACAATATCTGTTTAATTTAGTAAGAAGCTTACAATTTTGTATTTAGTAAGAAGTTTACAATTTTTAGCAAAAAGCTTACAATTTTGTATTTGCTAAAAAGCTAAAAAGAGTTGTTTTTGCATTATGCAAGTAATTAAAAATTTTTTGTATTAAGCAAGTAGCTTTAAATGTTTATAGGAAGCAAGAAGGTTTAGCAAATAATCTTCGCCTTGTTAGAACAAAATGTTAACTTTAGTCATAGAGACAGTGGTAGGAAAATGATTGTATAGCATTATCAGATTAGCCTTATCGATTAGTATCACGCTGTTAGATTACTGTGAGCCCACCTCTTAGGCACAAACTTAAGTGCGCTCTTGCACTATTTATTTCAAGTTTGACTTGTATTATATTCTATGTTTTAATTTCCACTGCAAGTGGTCAGTGTTTTTGTAACGCACGAAGTCCGTGCCTTTCTGTTAAATCAGTTTGAATTAATAAAGGGTTATTTTCACCCTTCATCTGCTCTGGTAATTAATTCACGCCTGTGTGAGAATTTTCCAGGTTCATTGCAGTACCTAATTTAAAATCTAATTTAGTTTATGTGGAATAACAGAGACCGACCTTACAAAATAAACTGGCCAAAGGGGAAAAAGAGCGTAACTGGTTAAGGCTTATTGCTTAGGTATACTGGCATTTTCTCTTGGGGGGGGGGAGCCAACTTAAATGCATTTCAGCAGAAGATTCATTTTTATAATAATTTTTATTTAATAATTATCACAAAATCATGAATTCAGGCTTAATGTATGTTAATTAGCAGTAATGTAATCTGCTCAGTTATGAAATTTATACATTACAAAATTTCATTTAAAAGTGAAAATATCCCATTTTATGTTATATTTTAATGATGTCTTGCTTTATGCAGTAAGTAAAAATTACTATGAGTTTATAAATTAAGCACCAAATTTTTGTATATGATGACTGTTTCACACACTAACGCACTATAATGAAATAATTTTCTTATAACTTAAAACTGATTAGCTTTTGACAAAATCTGCAAGTGCTGTTTGATTATTTTTAAAAAGTACTTGTTGGTTATCTGCCAATAAGCAACAAACAAACTGCAAGCACTTCTTGGTGATGAAATCAAGTTTTTTATTTCCGGCAGCCATATTCAAAAAAGCATCAAACAAACTGTTATTCTCTCATTAACTCAATTGTTAATTTTTATTCAAACAAATTGTGATAGTTGTTTGCACCTCCCAATAAACCTTGATAAATAAGATGACGAGTCATGATAAGCTATATCAAACTGACATTTATTCTTCCATTCTTTTATTTCCTATCCATTCCAAACGTATTCCATTGTATGTATGCAGATGCCAGTTTCAGGATCAATGATCATGATGGGAAAAAAATAAGCTACCTTCAACCTTTCAAAAAGTACAACCTTAACAATACTTTTAGAACAATTTGGAATAGCTTCTGCCAAAACCTTCCAAGAATCATACTCACTAGTGGTTTTTGTGGATTGTATTAGTGGATACCAGATAACCAACAATTATAAAAAAAAAAATCCATCAATCTTTTGGCACAAAAAGAATGCAGCACTACACATGTTGCATACAGCTCAAACAAAAAAAAAAAAAAAAAAAAAAAAAAAAAAAAACTATTGAGATTTGAATAAATTAATAAACTATAAATGCTTACAAATAGTAATGTATGCTTTGCTGCAGCCTTATATGATGCTTTAAATGATTTTTCTGTAGAACATATAGGTAAAGTATATTCCCATTTTTTTTCCATATGGAATCTTTTGGCATGCCATAAATGTGTTTCCAACCATAAAAAATTTGACTGGCGTCTATTATATTCTTCCAGCAAACACTTTGGCTTATCGCGATGTTTCTTACTTTTCTTTGTTGGTTTGGCCAAATGTGCCTAAAACAGAAACCAAGCAATCAAAAACATAGAAAATATTTAAGCATTTTTTATCATTATTTAATCTAAATTTCTAGCTTACACAATTTTTTTGATAATTTCGAATAAATAATAAATGCATAAATGATACTGACTACAATAAACAATACCTATCAAGAGATTGAATATAAAAACTGTTCTATGACCATTTAATATACACACACATATACAAATATATATATGTTAGGTAGTATTATCAAAAGCCGTCAAGAAAATTTTGGTGAATTAACAAAATTGGTAAAACAAAAATGAAGCTAAAATTAATCAATTATTGCTATTAAACAGAAATTAATTAACTTTTCAAGGGAAACAAGCCTATTTCCGATCAATTAAAAACAATTAATAGAAGCAAAAGTGTTTTGTCATCTTTCCCAAGTAAGAACCAATGGTAAAAGACAAAGTCAGTAAGATATTGAGCCAAAACTGATTCAGAGTACTAGTTAAAAGTTTGATGAGGACAAAAAAGAACTATTAAAACGTTGTCCCATTTGATTTATATAGCAAGCTAGGATTCAATCGGTACTGATTATTAAAGTAAATAGTTTATGATTCTTATTTATGAAAGATCATTCCCTGCTGATTATGGTAAAACATTATAAAACCAAATTAAAATTATGAACTTAAATTGTGGACAAAATAATTCATGCTGATTAGTCATAAAATGCATTCTTATTTAATTTAAATGAAACAGTAAGAATGTATGTGATTATTAAAAACTACATAATTAATATACATTAAAAAGGCAAGATATGAATTAAAGTGAACTTACATGTTTGCTAAATTTGAATCAAAATGGCAAAATGGCTGTATGTTGGAATGAAATTCAACTAAAGTATTATAGTATTTAGGAGGAGAAGATGATGCACTACGATTTTATTTTTGGAAAATGAGAAAATAAGTTTGTTTTCAGCATGCAAAAAAGTTGGAGAGAGAATTAGTCTGCTTAAATTAAATTAAATTATTTCTGGCTAATGGTCTGAAATGTACAACAAATTTGCAGAAGAATAGGAAATCTTCACTTGTAACGGGCTATAAACAAGTCTTAAAAGTCCCAATTTGCCCATTTTGTTAGTAAAAAAAAAAAAAAAAAACAGAAGAAACGAGTATTTTATATCATATACAATAATTACAGGATTTACAAATCTTTAAACTTACAGCCACCCAACAAATTCTGCCTTTTGAAGGTTTAGGAGTATATTATCATAACTTCACTAGCAAAATGATTTACATTAAGTATTTAATGCCTGCTTTTTTTAAGACAAAAATTAATAAAATTATTTGTTCCCAGATTATTTTTAAGAATTTTAATAAGTAGTAAAATTTTGTTTTGAATATCTAGTGTAGCTTTTTAGTGCATTAGATCAAAGCTTTTTAGTGCATTAGATCTGATTAATTATTGTGTTACTAATTACTTTTCTAAAAATGTTGGAAGTATAATTAATTAATTTATTAGTAGTAGTCTAAGAATTCAATCTGAGTGTAATTTCCTATTTCAAGTTCTATGCAGTCGACAACTTTTAGTGATGAATTGCTTTTATTAAGTATAAGGCTGTCTGAATATATATATGCCAACCTTTAAATTTTAAAAATCATGAGATTTCTGCAAAAAATCTGGTAGAAGCTGTGAGGATTTCAAGCTGTGCAGTGACACCATTTCAAAGGAACTCTAAACTTATTTTAATTCAGTTATAAAGCATGATTCATGTTATTCAATTACTTGTAATATACACTCATGTCCATAAATTAAGGATAATTCGGAGTCGCGCGGAAATCGAACTCTAAAATAAATATATCACCTGTAAAATCACTACACATATCTTCAAGAATCATATGCAAATTTCAGGAAGTAAGCAGATGACACCGATGGTACGTCACAATGATGAGAGTGTAAGAGAGTGATATATAAGGAATACAGGCAAAGAAGTAAATCTGTTCGCAGGTGCTTTATAAGCATTTCAATGCAATAACCGAATAGTTATGACACAAAGGACGCATTTGGATGATGTTTTACGTGGTAGAACTATCGGCCGTCTGGAAATGTGGACGTACCCAACTGGAAGTATCAGACGAACTTGGAATTGACCAGAGTGTCATCTCAGGGCTTTGGCAATGATTCCAAGATGATGGTAATGTGAGCAGACGTTACAGCACAGGTCGCCCCAGACTTACAACGCCGAATGAAGACCGGTATTTGGCAGTTACTGCCAAAAGAAAGAGGCGGAGCACAGCCTCAGACCTGTCTCATCAGCTCTCTTCAGCCACTGGTACGACAATTTCAAGGCAGACCGTGTACAAACGCTTAGGGCTGATTGGTCTATATGCTCGTAGACCTGTCAGATGCGTTCCACTTACTGCAACTCACTGTCGCCTGCGGTTAGCCTGGAGTAGAGAGCATGCATTGTGGACACCGCAACAGTGGGCTTGTGTGATGTTTTCGACGAGTCCAGGTTTAGTTTGCAGTCTGATTCTCGCCGGACTTTCACATGGAGAGCTCCAGGTACCCGTTACCACCAAGAAAACATCATTGAACGACACCGTTACGGTGGTGCAGGAGTGCTCGTTTGGGGTGGAATTATTCTGGGTTCCAGAACTGACCTGAAGTGTTCAAACTGGAACCATGACAAGCCAAATCTATCGGGACATCATTCTGGAACAACATGTATGTTTGTTTCGGGCCGCCATGGGCGCACAATTTGTGTTTATGGATGACAACGCCCATTCTCACCGAGCAAACATCATAAGCGAATGCCTTCAATCGGAGGATATCACCCGTATGGACTGGCCAGCACTCTCACCGGACCTGAATCCAGTAGAGCACATGTGGGATATGCTTGGCCAACGAGTTGCAGCCCGTCAACCTCCTCCTACATGTCTATTGGAACTTCAGAGAGCATTGTTTTTTGAGTGGTGTTATATCCCCCAAGATAAGATCGATAATTTGATACTCAGCATGCCTAGGCGTTGTACAGACTGTATTGCATCATCTGGGAGACATACAATGTCTTAACAATCATACCAACCATGTAATATTGTTTTTTTGTAAATAGGTTTTTTTTTTTGTAATTTGCTCCAGGGAGAAAAAAAATCGCTAATTTTTTTAATGATATCAAACATATAGCATCGTTTTTTGCTCTTTACCTTTTGTTTAATAAATAAACTTTACAAATAAGTCAAATTTGTTTTGCTCTAACTCTTCCTTTGCCTGATTTTGCATTATCCTTAATTTATGGACATGAGTGTACTTCTGATATACAATATATTAGTATTTAATTTGATATTCTAAATTTTGTGTTTTTTGGCTAATTTCATTTTAAAAATTTTCTAAGTGTTACATTGAGAAAATTCCAAGTAATGAAGAAAAGCTTTTATTTATCAATATACTTTTAAAAAACATGAAAATAAAAATTAATGTGCATGGTATTTATGTGGTTAAAATTGGTAATGTACCATATATTGTAATAAAGTGAAATTAAATACAAATATTAACTGATTAAACATTGCTTGAATCTTCATACAAAAATCTACAAATCTCTACAGTGGACTAAGACAAATGAAATTTAATAGGAAAAACTTAAAAAGTAAATAAAAATACAATTCATGTTAAATAAAATTTAATAAGCAAAAATATTCTGAAAATCACTAGAAGTGTGGAGAATGGCATTTGCTCAATTTCATTTATTGTTGGGATACTGGGAGACCTGTAGCTATATATATAAGTAAGATATAAAAATATGAAGGAAAATTATTAACATATTGCTAACTTAATTGGCAATAGCCCTTTTAATTACTAATTTTAATTTAAATACAATCCTTCGAGGCATCGGCACTGACGTCATTCTTTCCCTGCAGTATTCTGCATTGTGAAAGCTCTTGCCCAATCACTGTGCATACATGTGTGGAGAATTCGAATCTATCCATATAGCCCTGCAACAACTTGCTGTTCGTCTTTCCTCTCTTGAGAAGGCTGTAATTTTTGGTGATTCTATATCTGCTCTCCAGGCTTTGACAAGCAACCAGGAGAATGGGGATCCCTATATGCAGATTTGCTGGGAGTTCCTGAAAGGGATTCAGGGAAAGGTTGCTTTCTAATGAGTACCATCACATTGTGGTCTCTATGGAAATGGGATGGTGGACCTTTTGGCAAAGAAGGGAACTGATATTGTCCAAAAGTCTTATACACAACTTTTTACACTCTGCTAAATTAGAAATAAAGATAATTTTTAAGCAATCATTCATTGTGTGGCTTTCTATACTGCTGGCATTAAGTCCTAGAGTGTGGTTTGTGGCACCTTCAGTGCCTTGCACTCCCTTTGCTGCAGCCCATTTTAGACCTTTTGAACAGATATGATTGTCTTAATGCCTATTTGTTTCATTTTAAACTGGCTAATTGACCTGAATCTCTGTGCATTTCCAAACAAGGCATGACTGCTGCTCATCTGGAAGAGTGTTCTGCAGTAAGTGATTTGGATTGAATTGCGAAAAAGTATTGTAGAGCTGGTCAATGGCCTGGCATTTCTTTAATAATTAAAACAATTCTTAAAACTCATTAGCAGCCAAAAGGTAAAATAGCTAAAAACTGCCAGATCGACCAAATCCTCAGAGAGGTGCCTGCATGGGAGTTTTTTTTTTTTTTTTTAATTTTTTATTTTCCTTGTGCGTAACACAGATATGAGAGAAGAAAGTCTCTCAGGAAAGCATTCCTTTCCTTAGGCAAAAAGTTTTTGTATGCTTTGACATAATGAAAATAATCCAGTCCAAAGTAATGTTTAAAAGCTATAAATAGAAACAGTTTTCCTGTTAGGCTTTTGTTATGCCACTACATATATTTTGCATATTTAAGTCCATTGAGGATGGAAAGGACTGAAATCAATACTGAAAAATCGGATGTGCACACCACATGAGTTCCTTGTATGGCTTATTAAATTATATATATATATATATATTTGCTGCATCTCATTTAA